GTCTGCTCCTAGTGGGAGGCGCCGCAACGACAGGAGCAAGGGGGGCAAGGGTGCGGGAGGAGACGGCGGGGGCGGCGGTGGTGGCGGTGGAGGAGGCGGAGGGGGTGGGGGTGGAGGTGGGGGTGGTGGCGTGAGTGGGGGCTTCGGTGGCGGCAGTGGAGGTGGAGGCGGTGGAGGCAGCGGCAGTGGGGGTGGAGGTGGCGGCGGCGGCGGCGGCGGTGGGGGTGGCGGCGGCGGTGGTGCTGGTCGTGGTGGCGCTGTGCAGCGGGGAGGCTTTGGCGGTGGCCAGCGCCAGCAGCAGCAGCGCCCTCGTGAGACCCTGACGCCCCAGCAGCTTCGTGAGTGGTACGCTGGGCGTGGGAGGTCTGGGGGTGCTGGTCCCTGCACTTACATTCTCTGCACCGGCGACCGCAGTGGAGAGACGTGCGGCGGCCCGCACGCCACGCTCCGCTGTTTCGGCCGCCTGACTAACGCCTGGCGTACACAGTTCCCTGACGCCACTGCGATCCCTTGCTGGGGTGACCTGCTTAAGTCGGGGGTTGCTATCTTTGATCTTGATTATGATGCTATCCTTGCTGCTATGTATGATGTGTCTATTAGTGCTGAGGGTGACTGTTACCTGTGTGTTCCGCCCGACCCGGGCATTGAGGCTGCTGCTCTAGGTGCTAGTGAGTCTGCTGCTCCAGGTGCTGGTGAGGCTGCTCTCTCAAGTACAGCGTCGGCTCAGGTCTTGCACACTTTCACCCTTGACTCGGGTGCTTCCCGCTCCTTCTTTCGCGACTGCACCACACTCTCGCCGCTCAGTCGGCCGGTGGCAGTCTCTCTGGCTGACCCCTCTGGGGGTCCGGTCCTTGCACACTCCTCCACGGTTCTGCCGTGTCCGGCAGTCCCGTCTGGCTCGTTGTCTGGCCTCCACCTCCCCTCGCTCTCCACGAACTTGGTGAGAGGAGCTGACCTTCAGGACGCGTGGGTTGACCAGTTCACTCCTGGAGGTCACCGGGTGACCCACTGTTCGTGTACTCGGACGGGCCGGCACCTGGCCACGTTTACTCGTCAGCCTGGGTCGAGCCTGTACACCCTGACTACCGTGTCTCCTCCGGTTGCTGAGCCTGGTCAGGTAGCCGCGTCGGGTCGGGTGTTTGCTGCAGCGTCCCGGTCTGGTCCTGAGTCTGCCCCCTGCTCGTGTCGCCTCCTGTCTCACCAGACTCTTCTCTGTCACCACCGCCTTGGTCACCCCTCCCTGCCTCGTCTCTGAGGCATGGCCTCCCGTGTCCTTGTCTCTGGTCTCCCCCGGTCCCTCCCTCCCCTTCCTCTGGGGCCTGCCCCTACCTGCGTTCCCTGCGTCGAGGGCCGGCAGCGCGCCGCTCCTCACTCCTCCGAGTTTCCTCCGACAGAGGCTCCGTTGCAGACTCTCCACATGGACGTGTGGGGCCCAGCCCGCGTCCGTGGACAGGGTCACGAGCGTTACTTCCTGCTGGTTGTTGACGACTACTCGCGTTACACCACAGTCTTCCCCTTGCGCCGCAAGGGTCAGGTCATTGAGGTGTTGATCGACTGGATCCGCGCTGCCCGTCTCCAGCTCAGAGAGAGTTTCGGCTCGGACTTTCCTGTTCTGCGTCTGCACTCCGACAGAGGTGGAGAGTTTTCCCCCGACCTTCTGCGAGCCTTCTGTCGTGCGGAGGGCATCCGCCAGACGTTCACGCTTCCGGCCTCTCCACAGCAAAATGGGATTGCTGAGCGCCACATTGGCATGGTCATGGACGTCGCTCGTAAGTCCATGATCCATGCGGCTGCTCCCCATTTTCTGTGGCCGTTCGCGGTTCAGTACGCGGCGCATCAGATCAACCTCCAGCCCCGGGTCTCCATGCCGGAGACCACCCCTACTCTGCGGTGGACGGGGAAGGTTGGCGATGCGTCTGCGTTCCGTGTCTGGGGATCTCGAGCTTTCGTCCGCGACTTGTCTGCGGACAAGCTGTCCTCCCGTGCTGTTCCCTGCGTCTTCCTTGGCTTCCCCCCTAACGCGCCTGGTTGGCAGTTTTACCACCCCACCTCGCGCCGTGTTCTGTCCTCTCAGGACGTCACGTTTGACGAGTCGGTTCCTTACTACCGTCTCTTCCCCTACCGCACTGCCCCCCTCCCCCCCCCCGCCGCTCTTCCTAGCACCAGGTGCTCCTCCGGTAGACCCCCTCCCCCCCTCAGGGTCCTGCCCCCTCAGGTGTGTCCCAGGTAGACGCAGTCGAGCCTGTCGAGGTAGCTGTTGACTCTGGTGCTTCTAGGGGTGCTGAGCCTGCGGGTGCCGGGTCTGGGGGTGCTGAGCCTGAGCGTGCGGAGCCTGGGGGTGCTGAGTTTGGGGGTGCTGAGCCTGGGGGTGCTGAGTCTGGGGGTGCTGAGCCTGGGGTTGCTGAGTCTGGGGGTGCGGAGCCTGAGGGTGCTGAGCCTGCGCGTGTGGAGTCGGGAGGTGCTGTGTCTGGAGGTCCTTCGGGTGCTTCGTCCCGGCGGGAGCCACTCTCTCCACAGCAGCTGCGCGAGTGGTTTGCTCGCCACTGTAGCCGTGCTGCTGGAGCTGGTGGTGCTACAGGCGCTTGAGGTCCTGCTGCTGCTGGAGCTGCTGGGGGTTCTGGAGCCACTGGTCCCGGAGGTGCTCGTACTGGAGGTACTGGAGCTGCTGGGCCTGGTGGTGCTGCTGGAGCTGGAGCTGCTGGAGGTGCTGGAGCTGGAGGTGCTAGAGCTGGAGGTGCTGCTGGAGCCGGTGCTCCTGGGGGTGCTGGTGTTAGCGCTACTGGAGCTGCTGGAGGTGCTACAGGAGGTGCTGCTGGAGCTGGTGGTGCTGCTGGAGTTGGAGCTGACGCTGGGGGTGCTGGTGCTGTTCCTGCTGGTTCTGGAGGCGCTGCGCGGCCGCGGCCGTACTTCGTTTGCTCCTTGAGCAGGTTCTTGGTCTCCCGCCTTCTACTGGTCCTGCTCCTTCCGTAGAGTGTCCACAGCCTGTCCAGTCCGAGTCACAGTTACAGCCGGCCTCCCCACTGCCTGCTCCTTCTCCTTACACTGGTCCGACAGGAGGTCTTACGGAGCGTCGTGAGCCTGAGTCTCGTCCTGCGTCGCCTGTTCGCGTTGTTCGCACTGGTCGTCGTGCTCCGCGTGAGCGTCCTCCTCCTGTCCCTGGCACGCACCAGAAGGCTCTGCGTCCTTCCACTGCTCCGCAGCATGTCCCGCTGCTGTCTCCTCCTGCGTCCTCCCTTCATGCTCTTGCTGACCCAGAGTCTGACTCCCTTCGTGCTGCTAGTCCTACTGTCACGCATCTCCTGGCCACTGTTGTCACTGACCCTTCCTTTGAGTCCACTGCTGCGTCTACCTTAGTTGCTGAGCTTGTCGACTTTGCTGCTCACTGACGTCTAGACTACGCCGCTAGTCTTGTTGCTGAGTCTGAATCTGTCTGTCCTCCGTCCGTCGGGGGTGAGTGTGCTCTTGGCACGGACGTCCTTGAGGACAGGCAGGAGGAGTTCCAGTGCTTTGCTGCTCCTTTACCTCATCTCGTGTCCATGCTGCTTGCCCCTGAGGGAGACCCGGATGCACCAGACATCCCGACCCCGCGCTCTTACGCAGAGGCGATAGAGGGTCCCTACTCCTCTCAGTGGCAGACAGCCATGAACACAGAGATGGCTTCCTGGAAGTCCACAGGCACCTACGTCGACGAGGTTCCCCGCCTGGGGCGAACATCGTCAGTGGCATGTGGATTTTCAGGGTGAAGCGGCCGCCGGGTTCTCCGCCTGTCTTCAAGGCGCGTTATGTGGCTCGAGGCTTCAGTCAGCGGCAGGGAGTTGACTAGCAGTTGGATACATATAGCAAACCCTAAGGGGCTGTACTCACTATGGAGTACCCCACTGCAGGCTACACAATTATAACATTCTGACAAGTTCTGCTGGTGCAGCCACAACTTCCTCGCCGACCTATCGCAGACGATCCCCAGCCCGAGGTACGTCACCACCGGTGAGATCTCGCGTAGCTCGAAGGCGGCCTCCAGCAGCTCCTTCAGCTCCCTCAGCATCGCGGTGCTGCTGGTGGCGGCGAGCAGGTCGTCAACATAAACCAGCACCCAGCAGGTCGCCCCGTCGTCGTCGACCTTGAAGTAGAGCGCCTTGTCGACCTGGCTCTTCTTCCAGTCGGCTCCGACCAGCACGTCGTCGAGCGCCTTGTACCACATGAGCGGCGAATGCTTCAGCCCATATAGGCTCTTCAGCAGCTTGCACACCCGGCCGGTCCCGTCGTTGTAGTATTCCGGCTGGTACATGTACAGCACCCCATCGAGCTTGCTCTACAGGAAGGCATTCTTCATGTCGAGCTGCATCAGGTTGAGGTCGAGGACGGCGACGATGCTGTGGAAGATCCTCAGCGTGACGAAGCTGCTCACCGGCGCGTACGTCTCGTCGTAGTCAGCGCCATACACCTGCGTGAAGCCCTTCACGACCAACCTCGCCTTCTCGCGCTCGACGGTGTCGTCAATGTGGTAGTTTGTCATCAGCACCCACCGGTTCTTCATGATGTTCACCCCGGGGGGCCACTCGAACAGCACCCACGTCTCGTTGGCGACGAGGCTGCGGATCTCCTCGTCCATGGCGGCCTTCACTACCTTGCCCTTCTAGCTCGCCAATGCCTCTTTCACCATCATCGTTGCGATGTCCTAGCGGTGGTCCCCGAAGCTGACCTGAACGCCGCACTCCAGGCTGGTCGACCTGAACCTCCACCACATCGCTGTCGGTGGACTCCTCCCCCGCCGATTGCTCCCCTTCGTCGTCGCCGACTGCTCCCCTTCGTCGTCGCCGACTGCACTGCTCTCGTCGTCCTGCTGCACCAATCTCGGCTGCCCGGCCGACTTCTTCACTGTCGCCGGCTCCCCTGCTGACTGCCCAGAAGCAGACAGCTTGTTGGTCGGCTTCACTGCTGGCTGCTCCCCTGCTTGTGGCTTCTCTGCCGACGCCTCCTTCGCCGACTTCACCCAAATTCGGCTACACCTCCTCTGCCTGCTGCTCCCCTGTCGGCGTCGACTTCTCTCCCACGCCGACTTGCTTGGCGTCACGTCGGCCACCGGCGATGCTCTTGGCGGGCGCCACAGGCAACGCCCCACTGCTCCCCTCATCGCCGCTAGCCGACGTCGATGTCAGCTTATGCAGGTCGGCTACAAGGGGTGGGGCAGGAGGAGCTGGAGAAGGGGAAGGAGTGTGGACGTCCTCGGCATCCTCATCATCAAGTTCACCGACCTCGGCGAGCAGAGGGAGTGTCGCTGTCGAGGTGTCCGTCGGCAGGTTGGCCTGCGTCCGCTCCGACGCCAGCTCGTGCTCCGACTTCCACACCTCCAGCGACATTGTCTCGTAGAACACCACGTCCGGCGTGGTGACCACCCTGTTGTCGGTGAGATCGAGGAGCTCCCAGCCCTTGCTCTCCTCCGACACACCAAGATGAAGGCCCCACCTGGCCTTCGGCTTCAGCTTTCCACCACGCTACTGCTCGGGGACCAGGAACTGCGCCATGCAGCCCCACCCACGGGCCAGCGTCAATTCGGGCTTCTTGCCGGTCAGCAGCTGGTACAGAATCGACCCCGACAGCAGCGTCGACCTCTCCAGGCAGTTGCGCACCCTGACGGCCTGCCGCAGGGCGAGGTGCCACCAGCGGTGCTGCACGCCCATGTGCAGCAGCATCGTCCGCACCGACTCCACCAGCGTCCGCATCTCCCGCTCCGCCATGCCGTTCTGCTGCGGTGTGTAGGGGCAGGTCAAGTCGTGGACGATTCCCTTGCCGTCCACGAAGGCGGTGAACTCCTTCCCGAGGAACTCCCCTCCCCGGTCAGAGCGCAGCATCAGCACCGACTTCTTCGTCTGCCGCTCAGCTACCACCAGCCACTTCTCGAACTCCCGCAGCACGTCGGACTTCTTGGCGACCAGCCGCACCCACACGTAGCGGGTCTTCCGGTCCTTCAGCAACAAGTAGTACAGGCTGCCACCCGAAACGGCCCGCACAGGTCGATGTGCACGGCAGCCAGGGCGTCCTCGGCGTCTGAGCCCTTGTCGGGGAAGGTGTGCCGAGCCAGCTTCCCGCCGACGCACGAGACACACGGAGAGTCGGTGCCAGCCGACGGCTTGATGTCCAGGCCGGTGGCAACGTCATGCTTCGCCGAGCCTGTGATGGTGTCGACGCCGAGATGCGCAAGCCTCGCATGCCACCTGGTCGGCGTCAACTTTGTCGCCGAGACAATCGCCCGCAGGGCCACCACCTCCGTTGTGGCCGTCGTCGACTTCGCCGAGCCGGGACGAAGGTCAGTGCAGAGGACCCAGCCGGCGTACGTCGCCCGACCGAGAACGTCCCCCGCCGCCGAGACGAGGAGCATCCCGTCACCATCGTCCTCCAGCTTCACACCGCTCTCCTTCAGCTGGCCGGCTGACAGCAGGTTCGCCTGCATGCCCGGGACGTAGATCACGTCGGGGATGAGCACATGCTTTCCGGTTCCTCCTTGTAGGGTGACGGTGCCTCGACCCTGGACGTCCTGCAGCGCTCCATTGAATCCGCGCACGTGCTTGACGTCGCCGCTCGGCTGCAAGTCGACGAAGGCCTCCTTCGTCCCCATCAGGTGGTGCGAGCAGCCGCTGTCGAGCAGGACCACCTCCGGGTTCGCCTGCATGGCTGCCGCCGCCACCTGGAAATCCTCGCCGGCCTCCGTCGCCAGCGAGACGGTCGACTCCACGACGCCGACCAGCGAGCATGACTCCTCCCCGCCGCCTCGCCCCTTGCCGCCAGCGGAGGAGTTGGCGTCCTTTGCCGAGGTCGACTTGGTCGAGAGCTTCTCCTTGTGAGGCTTACTCTCGCAACAAGGGCGACGCCCGGCCGACCTCTCTCGGCCTCCCTTGGTATCGTCATCGTCGGAGTCGGTGCGATCGGGGCACTCGAAGGAGAGGTGGTCGGCGTCGCCGCACAGCCAGCATTCTAGACGTCGACCTCCTCCTCCACGACCGCCATCCTTGGCCGAATTCCCCTTGTCGGCGTCCTTGGCCGGCCTCCCACCTTCGGTACCACCGCCGCCAGGCTTGCCGCGCGGTGCGTCATCTGCTCCTCCAGCAGGCCGATGTACAGGTCGTCGGTGACCTGGTATGTCGACGTGATGAACTGCCACGCCTGGTGGCCGACGTCCAAGAAGCCCCAGCTCGACTTCAGAGCGATCTGCACCACCGACGAGCAGCACCGCGCGATGACCATCAAGGTCAGCAGGTGCACGGCACGAAACTCTGCACGCAGCTCGGCGTTGGACTCTGGCAGCGTCTCGACGCTACCGTCGACGAAGCACATTAGGCCGTCCATCTCCAGCTGGGGCTCGATGGACTCCTTCCAGGTGAGGAGGTCATGTCGACCTACCCGCAGCACAGGGACAGTGATTTTGTCCGGCGTGAACTTGAAGTAGCCGTACGTCGGCGCTATCCCGCCAACCGTCACGTTGGTCGCCGATGCCGGCGTCACACTGCTTCGACGTCCTCCGACATCGCCTTGCGAGGTGCCCGCAGCGGCCGACAACAGCTGCCCTCGTCCCTGAACGCCGCCGACTTCACCGGCATGAATCACTCCTCTCTACCTCGACGTGCCTCCCGCACTGCTGCCGACTTGGTCGCCGCCGTCGACGCCCACGCCGACGCTGCCTTCGTTCCGTACCGGTACCGATCGAGGAGAACCTGGTCGGGAAGGGTGCTCCGTCGCCCACTTTGCGCGGATACCCAGCTCGAAGACCTCCAGTGGGAGGCTCGGACCGAACTCGCCATCCTCATGACGTCTCCTCGCATCAGCCAGCCGTGTCTCCAAGGTATCCACTGCGCCCGCGTCACCTACGGCGCCAACCATGGTGCCTAACACAGCTGCCGGCCTACGAACGAAATAGGTAGTGCAGACTAGACTAAAGGTAAGTCGCGGTGCCGTCCACGCTCACCGCACCATGCGGAGATAACTACTACAACAGGAGCCAGACTACGGGGTAGGCACAGGGTAGGAGTGATCGTAGCGTCGGTTCCTTAGTCGTTCACTTGTGCTCTCTCTTCTTGCGCATTCACGGGGGAAATTGGCAAGAGTTTCACTAGCAAAAATTCACAACAATAATGGGTAGAACAAAGTTGGCCAGCAAGACTCTATCAGATGCTAACAAGCATGCTGGTCGACTGCCAGAGCAGTACGGTCGACTGCGTTCCAGCACGACATGGTCGACCGCGCTCCAGCAGTGCAGAGTCGCGGTCTGCCAACGCATCTAGTCGATGGCGTGCCAACGATGCAGCAAGGCGGCTACACAGCGTTTCACTTGCAGGACAGCAGCGCAACCACTTCCCAGATGCTCGCAGCTGGTTGGCGTGCCCTGCCCCGTCACCTGCACAGCGCAGACGCCAAGTTGTCCACGTGCTGGTGACTGCATCTGATCAGCCACGTCGACCTCGGGATACCACCACCGAGGTCGTCTTCGCCTGAACCACCTGGGCGACTGTCGCACTCCTCCGCAGAACCCCGTCGCCCAGGTAACCTGGTCGACCAGGCAACCCCGTCGACGAGCAGCTCCTCCTCGTGCCCGTCGACCGCCCAGGTCAACGACCACCACCGGTCGACCACACCAAGCCGACCACCAGGTTTCGTCACCGGTTCGACGCCCTCTCAGATCGACCCACTGAGTCGACCTTCCACCAACGTTGGCGCCCTCCCAAGTCGGCGCCCCTCCCAGGTCGACGTCTCTCCTCGTCGACCACCAGGTTGAAGTCGGTCACCGGCTCCCCAAAGTCGGCGGTTCTGCAGTGGCCCCGTGCAGGTCGTCCAACCCATCGAGCAGCTCGCCCAAGTCGGCGTCGCCCACTGCTGCAGGTCGGCTGCACTACCCGCACACCCGACCACAAAGTCGGCTTCGCCCAAGCGAGGACGGGGCCAACCCACAGCTCCCGTTGACAGTACTTTCGGCAGATAGGTCTTCTAAATCTTATGATAGGCACCGATAAACGACCTAGTACATTGGAGCAACAGAACGAGTGGGACGAGCGTTCATCCGCTGGGTACTACATCCTATTTCAAAGCTTGGATCTCGCCCAACGCCAACACATCATGCACCTCCTCTCGGAGGAAGAGTGTGGACCCAAGGGATGGACTGTGCTCAAGGATCAACATGCCCCCACATCAGTCGTAGCTACCCTCATGCTAGAGAGGGAGCTCTCTACCCTTTTCCTTAGTGAAGGAGAACCCGTTCAACCCGCCTTGACAAGATGAGATAACTCTACGCCAAACTCGCCATCGTTGGAATTCTCTACCCCGAACAAACCAAGTGTGTGAAGATGTTGTCGCTGCTGCCGGAGTCGTGGATGATATTCACAAGTGGCCTAAGTCTTCCCCAAAACCAGAGCCTCTGGACCTCGGAGTGGTAGAGGCCGAGGTGGCAGAGGGGGAGGAAGGGGATTTGGGAGAATGGAGGGCAACTGTTGGTACTGCAAGAAGGTGGGTCACCCGTGGTTTAAATGCATGACTAAACCCTCTTGGTGGACCCCCTCCAACAGGACCCAGGATGGGAGTGGCGCCGGAGCGGTAGTCGATGAGGAACCGGCTGAAAACGAGCAACGTGAAGCCGAACAGTTCTTCCACGCAGGAGAGCCAGAAGAGGAAGCGGTGATCGCCCATGCTGGAGCTACACTGCACCCGCTCAACACGTGGATATTAGACTCGGGAGCGGCATGGACCATGACTCCAAGGGCCAAGCTCCTTGACAAGGTGGGGACTGCACCGATTGCTGAGGTGAAGTCAGCATCCGGGCACACTCTCAAGGTTACGGGGGCGGGACGTGCTGCATTCAAAGGAGCCGACGGCAAGCCGGTAGTGCTGAGCGATGTGCTCTTTGTCCCTGACCTCAACGCAAATCTGCTCTCCCTTAGGAAGCTGGCCAAGTGCGGGGTCAGCACCTCCACCGATGGTGCCAAGACGTTCATGGGGCAGCTGGGAAAGAGGGTGTTGTGGGCCCTTCACGAGAACCGTTACATTTGCAGATCCATGTGGCAGCTTCCGGTGATGCCATGGAGCAAGGAGGGTGGATCACAAGGGGAGTGCAACGCTGTAGCTGCAGAGGGGCTGAGGGTTTCAGCACAGAGCGGTGAAACGGACTGGGTGACAGCTCACCGTCGCCTCGGGCATATTGCTATGCCCGCACTGCAGCAACTGCAAAAGGAGGAAGGCGTTAAGGGGCTGAAGCTGATTGGTGCAGCAGTCTTCCACAAGTGTGAAACTTGCATGCTGAGCAAGTTCACACGCTGCCCCTTCCATGCAACCGAGGGTGGCGGCAAGAAGCTCTTAGAACTAGTACACATGGATGTGGTGGGCCCACTGCCGATGTTAGGGGAACAGGGTGAGAAGTATTTTCTCACCATTGTGGATGATTGGAGCCAAGTGACCTGGGCGTATCCAATTAAGAAAAAGATCATGTGCCATCTACGATCCGTGATGAGTGGCTGCCGTTGGTGGAGAAGCTGTTGATGGGAATGGGTTGTTGGCCGCGCCCTTGCTTGGGCGACGCTGACTTCCTGGTCGGACGCACGGGTGGTGCGGCCGACTATTATGCAGGGTTCGACGCGTGCTGGTCGACGAGGTTGTCGACCTGCAGGCGACCACTGCAATGCCGCCGTCGACCGGAGCTGGCAGTCGATTTTGACAAAGGTGGTTGTCGACCTACGCAAGTCTGTCGAGGAGCCGTCGAAGGTGTGAGCTCAACGGCACCAATAGACCGAGCTGGTTGATGGAGGGGACCGTTGACCAGGGTGGTCCTCGACAAGGGTGGTGGTCAACGAGGGAGGTCGTCGACTAGGGCACCGGGTGGTCGACCCGGTCGACCAAGTTACCTCGGCGAGGTTCTGCGGAGGCACGCAAACGACGCCGAGGCCGCGATGGCGAAGGCGACTTCGAGCTGGTATCCCGAAGTGGATGTGGCTCGACAGGCGCAGATAACA